TGTTTAAGGCGTCTAGTGGCTTGATGGAAGAACAAGGAAGGAAGCCACGACAGATGAGGTTTGATTTGACGTACTATATCCCGGTGCAGGTGAACGGGGTTTTCCGGCTCCCAGGTTGTCCGTTGTAGCAGCTGAGCGCCGTCACACAGCTGGTGTTACTGTCGCTGTTCCCCACCGGCGCACTCATCAGACTGCCCATCGTCATCCGGGCCTCCTGGTCTGTAACGGTTTGAAATAAGTTAAACAGCAATTATTTTCTATGACCATAAACTTCATAAAAGACAGCAAAGTTGTACTATTCTGTATATAATGACCTTAAAGTTAAACTAATCTGTGCAGAGCTGCAGGAAAACCAATGTGTGTTACCGTGCTTTATTGGAACCCTTTGAAATTCAGGTTTGGACCAATTTTGGGTCCTTTTAAGACCTTTCTAAACCAGTATAGACAAGATCTGTTTGGAGCAGTTTCAGACCTGTTGTGAACCAGTTCCTCACCAGTTCATAGACCAGTTCCTCACCAGTTCATAGACCAGTTTACAGACCAGTTCCTAGACCAGTTTACAGACCAGTTCCTCACCAGTTCATAGACCAGTTCCTCGCCAGTTTACAGACCAGTTCCTCGCCAGTTCATAGACCAGTTCCTCACCAGTTCATAGCCAAGTTCCTCACCAGTTCATAGACCAGTTCATAGACCAGTTTATAGACCAGTTTACAGACCAGTTCCTCGTCAGTTCATAGACCAGTTCATAGACCAGTTCCTCACCAGTTCATAGACCAGTTCATAGACCAGTTTATAGACCAGTTTACAGACCAGTTCCTCACCAGTTCATAGACCAGTTCCTCACCAGTTCATAGACCAGTTCCTCACCAGTTCCTCGCCAGTTTACAGACCAGTTCCTCACCAGTTCATAGACCAGTTCATAGGCCAGTTTATAGACCAGTTTACAGACCAGTTCCTCATCAGTTCATAGACCAGTTCCTCACCAGTTCATAGACCAGTTCCTCACCAGTTCATAGACCAGTTCCTCACCAGTTCCTAGACCAGTTCATAGACCAGTTCCTGACCAGTTCATAGACCAGTTCATAGACCAGTTCCTAGACCAGTTCCTGACCAGTTCATAGACCAGTTCCTCACCAGTTTAAAGACCAGTTTCAGAGCAGCTTGTCCCGTCTGATGCTGATAGTACCTTGTTTTATCTTGGAGAAGTCGATGATCCAGCTCTCGTCCCACAGCAGCTTCTGTTTCTGGTACCTCAGCCACTGCACAACACAGTGTTATTGATTAGGTTTCATATCCTGTATTATTTTGTAGTGTGTTCCAGGTTTTCTCTGGTGAGATCCTCACCACGGCGGTCAGGACGAAGCAGAGGCAGAGCAGGCTGAGCGGCAGGCCGATGGACAGTTTGGTGGTTGGAGTCATCGGGCATTCACCACAATCCGCCGAACACGTAGAACAAAGCTCCGCCTCCTCACAGACGCCATCTCCACACACTGAGAAACCAGAACACAGGAGCTACTTGTTTATGGTTTAAGCGTAGGGTAATTGGACCGCTAAGGGTAGCCAAAACCCAGCCCTAAAGGTACCTCCGAATACCCGTTATACCCACAAACAAAGCTGTACGATACTTGTTGTCTACATGGTATCAGAAAATAGGAGCTACTTATTTATAGTTTAACAGTAGGGAAGGTATTAAGGGTTATTGGACTGCTAAGGGTTGCCACAATCACCAAAACCCAGCCCTAAAGGTACCAGTGAATACCCATTATACCCACTAACAAAGCTGTACGATACTTGTTGTCTACATGGTCTCTCAGTAAATATATATAACTGACCTACAGCCGGCTCCACGGTGCTCTTGGCCTCCAGAGCGACCTGCATGCGTCCGACTCGAATGTGAGCAATGAGCGAGGTCAAACCGGAGTGAACCAGAACCACCTGGGGGTCAGAGGTCAGAGGTCAGAGGTCAGAACTGGAAGATTTATCTGAGAGTTTGGTGTTTTTGGAGGTGGTTTGTTGTCAAATTGGCAAAAAAACAAGGAAGGAAGAATAAAACATTAGACATGTGTATCATTTGCATATAGAGATTATTTTCTGTACATTTAGAAACTACTACAGGTTTAAAGTAGTGTTTCGTCTGTGTCTAAAGAGATTAGCATAGGATTACATTTAAGATATAGTAGATATATAAAGTGGTGTATCATCTGGGGACAAATATTACTGTAGGGATTTTTAGGAAAGAAATGGAGTATCATCCTCATTTATTTTAACGTTTAGGATGAACTGCAGAGAATAGGAAGTGAAAAATATAGCATTTTAGGTGGAATTTGTCCAATTGGGATGTAATGAGTTAACGTTGTTTGTGGACTTTATACTTATTAGTACGTACTGCCGCTTCCCATCTCTAGCTCCTATCCCACCTCTATGTACAGAAGGAGATCAGACGCTGAGTTTCTGAGATGCTTGATAAAGCTCTGTGTCACCTTGGAGGTCCAGTTGCTCTGCGTCATCTTCCCCGCGGTGGAGAGGGTGTGAGTGAAGATCTTCCCGTCGTCAGGGATCCAGGGCCCGCAGATGCTCTCCGTCTGAAACAAAAAGCTGAATGTCGTTTGGTTCCTCCTCGGCCGAAGCTCCACCCTTCATCAAACGTTTCTAAAAACCAGGCTGGTGGTTGTTCTTTTCATCCCGCTGGTAAACAACTAAAATGGTGGCGATAAAAGAAGGCAGATATATAATATGGCTTCTTTAAAATGAGGAGTATATTGGAATGTATTATTGTAATATGCAGGATGACCTGATAACCAATCGTTACCTGTGTTATTTACGTTCTCAGTGAAATCATTGACTTGATTTCTATACGTTTTGTTGAATTGTTTGAGACCTTCCACACGTTGTGAGCCCTTGTTAAAGAAACTGTTCCTCTAAACCGGAGGGGAATGTGAGAAAAGAACTAATAAGGAACATGTTTTAAAGAAGTCAGATGTGTACCATGTGTCCCAGAGGACAGGAGTGGATGTTGGCGTGGTGGATGCAGCAGTTTTCTCCGTCAGCGTCTCTCCAGTTGGTCGGACAGTCGATGTTTTCACAGAACCTCCGAGCTGCGTCTGCGTCCACGATGGCACTAAAGATTCAAACCAGGACCAAATCCAGTTTAGACAGTTTCAGAGCCACTGTGGGTAAACACATACGGTAATTAAGAAGCCGTGTGAGGGAGTTTTCTAATCTCCAATTTGTACATTCACAAATAAATGTCAGGGGTGTAATGTATAATCATTAGGTTTAGACGAAAAACGAAATCAAAGTTACTAATCTAAGAGAAAATACATCTTAAACATTGGGACAACATTCAGGGAAATAACTCTAGGATCCACATCATTTTATAAAATAATTTTTCATGCAAATATTTTACTTTTTAAATGTAGAGAATATTAAAATTCTTGGTTTTACATTTTAGATTTTTTTTTCAGTCCCACCAGTTCAAACCAGGGTTGGAGTTATAATCTGAGTTTTGGGAGTCAGGGGCGGAGATAAATATATCAATACCATCCGGGTAACAACGTAAATAACGGGTGATATTTATACACCTTGGAGGTGAAGTGCGGGCATATTGCCATTCAAGAGAGAATACGATGCGTAGTTCTTTTGGAAAACATGTCTCCCCAGTCTCACAAAGAAACGTGTAATACCTCCGTTTGTCCACAGGGCATTATCACAAATATCCCTCTCAGGACGTGACATGGATACAACATGTGTTCCTATTCATTTCTAATGACCGGTGTCCGTGTCACGTGATCGCAAACTTTCCCAGTGAGAAAAAAAAAACGCTCAACGTTAAAACGCTTTTTGATTAAATTTCTAGCGAGAAGCGTATATTGTACTTTTAAAATCTACGTCCAGTCGATGTGTAGGATCCATAGTTTGATTTTTTTACAAAATATCGATCCATGTCACGTTTTGCCCTGTGACAAACACGTTTTTTTGTGAGACCGGGTTTTTCCAGTATTTAGAACACTCTTTTAGAACATGTGGTTCTCTGTAGAACACTCTAACCTGAGTGAAGATGTGGTTCTCTGTAGAACACTCTAACCTGAGTGAAGATGTGGTTCTCTGTAGAACACTCTAACCTGAGTGAAGATGTGGTTCTCTGTAGAACACTCTAACCTGAGTGAAGATGTGGTTCTCTGTAGAACACTCTAACCTGAGTGTAGATGAGGTTCTCTGTAGAACACTCTAACCTGAGTGAAGATGTGGTTCTCTGTAGAACACTCTAACCTGAGTGAAGATGTGGTTCTCTGTAGAACACTCTAACCTGAGTGAAGATGTGGTTCTCTGTAGAACACTCTAACCTGAGTGAAGATGTGGTTCTCTGTAGAACACTCTAACCTGAGTGAAGATGTGGTTCTCTGTAGAACACTCTAACCTGTGAGTGAAGATGGTA